TTTTTTGACGTCGTCCCTAAGCGGATGTAGCATTTTTATATCATAAACATTTTTAATTGTTTGAGTATAAGTACTGATTAAAATGAATTTTATTACTCACAAATGTAATACTTAACTTAAGTTTGTTTTCAATGAACCACGGACAAAGTAGAATTAATTTGTTTAATTGATTATTAAGCTTGTTTTCAATGGCGTTAAACTAGACGTTCGCCGTAGGTGGCGTATTTCAATGAAGAATAACATTGCTTTCATTTGATGTGGATTATTTTTAATATATTTGGTTTTTACCCAAAGTGTATATTTTGCATATATACGTCACAAGCCTTGAAATAAAGGATTAATTTCCCACATAATAGACAATCCAATGTTGACATTATTGTCATGCGATGAGAAAATCGCTTAACCCACAAATACGTGGGGGCGATGCAGAGTTTCTTGTTTATAGTTACGCAATACACCAACATATAGTTCATTTAAATTGTTATTATTGCTCTCACTAACCATCTCTGCATACTTATTCAAGTGAGCATTTTTACCGAGCCATTCTGAGAACATCCAAAACACTTTTTTTTTAAACCCTAATGCATTTCGCTCTGACATTGTCCCGTTTGTCGTCATTGCAAAAATGCCCGGATGTAGTCCAAGTCCAAATCCAGCAAGAATCTTGTTGACCAATGACACTGAATTAACGCGTCGCTTCAATTATATTGTAATAACATGAATATTCAATACATTAAAAATTTACAGTACTGTACCGGCTATGAACTATAGTGAAACTGCGTATGACTGCATAAAGTACGCAACAAAGTAACTTATCTTATCGTCTACGCCACTCTAAAGACATCGCCGTAAAACCAAAATCTCATTTATGTTTGGGAGCTGTGACATATACGGGAAAAGAGGTAGAATTTAAGCTGTTGTTGATAGACCCGACGTTCAAGTAAACATTGTTACTATTTACATTACTTGTAATGAATGCAGTTATGTCCGCCGAGAATATTCACAGTTACCGTGACTGTTTCATGATGTCTAGAAACAAATAAAGTACATTAGTAAATCATTTTGAAAGTTCATTATATTATTATATTATTTGAGAATAAACATATATTTGCAAAAATAAATTCTTGTTATCATTGAATTATGCATACAAAATTAATAATGTATTTTGTACATGCGTGATTGATTAATTAATACGTACTAGTAAGAATGACATATGTATTGTTCCCCTAGGTACGATACCAGTGAACAATTCTAGCGATGATATTTTTTCTATTTCAAACTCACAAGACTGTAACTACATTTATGAGATATCATTTCACTGTGTATCCAACATAGTGAACATTAGATCCCTTCTTATGCAGGTCTAAGTGGCGGTGATGTTGCAGAGATTGTTCTTGGCGTAATCGGTGGAGTGCTTCTGATTCACATGGTCATGTTTGTCGTCTTGTTGCACCTCTGCCGCGTGTGTGCTTTGTTTGATTAAAAAGAGTTGGTTGATTAAAAAGATTCTACGTATAAGAAGATGGAGCGTTTCGTCGCAGTGATCAATATAATATTACTCGCTACACACCAGTGCTCAGTTTGAATGTCAACAAATTAGACACCAAACAATTAGTACAACACATATGTATTAATATACTATGCTATAATGTACTTAGTGAAGGTGTCTCAAATCGAATACAACTGAATAATCAATCCGATATAGTTCAACCACATTTAAATAGTCAATTTTATCTTCGATGAATTGTTTTGTATTGGCCGTACTTGAATAGTAAATATTTAAAATGAAAATCACAAACGTATCAATGCTACTTCGTAATATAATTCAGTCATATAATTTATGGTGTAGGTATTATATAATGTACCTGCTTGCTAATTGAATCACTGAAAATTATCGCCAAACGTGGCGACAAATTTGCATCACTGACAATCACATTACAGGCGTCGATGTACGATGGGCGTAGTCTTACAAAGACGGTATTGTTTAACCTAGAGTATTAGTAAAAAATAGTTATCAAGACAAATTCTGGTAAATCTGAATAATGAATTAGGTTCACTGATCATTGGTTTAAACGGATGAGGAACGCGATGTGATGGGTGTACAGCAGACTGGTATTATGGAAATGATATCGTTATTTTGCACAATACTGGAATGTTAACCATAATTTACTAACGGTTATGAGCTAGTTCATGTTTAAATGTCAATGCTTTGAAAACAATCAACTCGGGGTCAAGAAGCAAATTCAGCATCATTCATTTCAGTTCAGTTATTAATTATTTGTTAATCCGCTACAATTAACGTCAATGATCGCCAAAATAAACTTTACGCACGGAGACTATCACTATCAAGCGGTGATAGCGCAAATACTGCGCCAAGCAAGTTTCACAATCCTCGGGGGCGGAGCTACGTCACGGACGTTCTACGTTGCTAAGACGCGCACCACTGTACCACGTATTTCTATGGGCTTTGTGCGCGCTGCTGTGGAACGCCGGTGGAGCCGGAGAAAACAACACAAACTCAACTTTGAAGTAATCCTGAACAACCAAATTCATATATGTTACACACGTAGGGATAATCTTGTTACACTGTTCAGGGGACTCTCAACAACCATCGCAAAGTACCGTTTTCTGTGAGTTTTTGGTCTTTGTTTTCACCGCGAGGGTTGCCAGGCTGTGGTAAATGCCCGGATGTCCGCCCCCGAGGATAAAATCGCAGAGTCGGGTAGAGAGGGCGCACAATTACAAGACCGTTATAGTCAATGTGTTATATAGGTAATAGGTAATAATGCATTAGGTACCTCCCCTCTAAATCAATAAGAATATATGTCTCGCAGTAGTATTAATAGCTTACGCTCAGCCGATACTGTGCGCTCTCTATAACTATTTTGCTACCTTGCCTATTGAACACAGCGACGGTATCAAGGCCAGACATTGTGCGTTAATTGGTTTGGTTGAAGCATGCATTAAAACATCAACGTAAACGCTGTCAGCCGTCCGACGTGCTTGGACACAT